ATACTGGAGTGGGTTGCCACTTCCTTCTCCAGGGGATCTTCCCGACCCAGGGATTGAACCCAGGTCTCCTGCATTGCGGGCAGACACTTTACTGTCTGGGCCACTAAGGAAGCCCCAACATAAGGGATTAACACTGGGGTAAACTGTGCAAAGCATAGACAGGAACTCTGTACCATCTTTACAGCTTTCCCGTAAACCTACATCTCTTCTAAAGCAAAAGGCTTAATTTAAAAGTAGCAAGAGGGACTTCTCTGGCAGTCCAGTGGTTAAGACTCCGTGCTTCCACGGCATGGGGACACAGGTTCCATCCCTGGTTGGGGAACTAAGGTCTCTCATACTGCAAGATGCAGCCAAAAAAATTTTTTTAATTAAAAAAAAAAAAAAGGAGCAAGAGAATCTACGAGCTTTGAAAGCATTAAAAATCTTCGTTTTTAAAAAAGTTCCAACTGCCCAGTAGAAGGTAAATGAACAGTGAGTACTTAGGTGACTGACCCATCACAGGATGTGAGACTTATAGAGAATTCATGGCAAAAACACCAGAAGCAACACTTTCAGAAAATGGACACAGAGAAGGTTTTCTGGTTGCAGCATCCAACCTTCATCATGATCTTGCCTTTACACAAAAGGAAAAAAACTCCACAACAACAACAGAAAAACCCAAGAGGCTTGGAAGTCCTGCTAAAAGGAAAGCAACTAGGGATAAAGTAACAGCAACACACTGGACTATTGGTCATTGAGAAGATTATAACATACAAATCAGGGTTGAGCCAACAGTGAATCATGACTAAGGAGTTCTGAAATCAATTCAGCAGTGGCAGCCGGTGTTTTTTCAGTGAAAGAGAATGAAACGAGTTCCGTGGGCTGACAGCTGCAGGACCATGTGAATGTACTCAACACCACAGAACCGTACACTCAAACTGGCTGAAGCGGCAGGTGTTAACGTATGTGCCACAATTTTTAAAAATGGAAAAGAAAATAGAGTCCACCACAGGTAGCACAGGTTAAGGGCCACTTTACAAATAAATGAGCAGGAGGACATAGTCAGACACCCCCATTAACTGCCTGTGGGTAACAAATAATCACAGTGTAAAAGGTCTCTCGCCGAGTTGCTGTCCGTAAGTCTGACAGCCACTGGACTCAATGCCCCCTACACCCTCCCTCCAATCATCCACGTCAGAAGAGGAAGAAGGGCAAAATCTACTCCGTATCTTTAAGTGTGGTGCGAAACTGGTGAGAAGAAGCTAGTTCTTATTAATAAGAAAGAAGTATCTGTGAAAGCAGAAGACCAGCGCCAAGGTACAAAGGACAAGGCCCCTGAAGACGCAGCCTGGCCTCCCTAGCCCACACCCTAGCTCACACTCACTCCAAGCTCACGGCAGCTCACACTCACTCCTAGCTCATGGCAGCTCACACTCACTCCTAGCTCATGGCAGCTCACACTCGCTCCTAGCTCACGGCAGCTCACACTCGCTCCTAGCTCACGGCAGCTCACACTCGCTCCTAAAACACGGCAGTTCACACTCGCTCCTAGCTCACAGCAGCTCACACTAGCTCCTAGCCCACACCCTAGCTCACAGCAGCTCACACTCGCTCCTAGCTCACAGCAGCTCACACTCACTCCTAGCCCACACCCCAGCTCACACCCGCTCCCAGCTCACAGCAGCTCACACTCACTCCCTAGATCACACTGCCTCCTGTCTCATCAAGTCTGAGATTCCTAGGAGGCAACCAAGCAGAGTTCCCAGCTGCCCTCTGCCAGACCTTTCCCATCACATCATTGCCGCTCCAGGCTTCTCTTCATCTCCACAACTGAACCAACCAAAGTTCCCCGCAGAACTTTCCACGTCCTCCGTCCCCACCGCTGCCAACCAAGCTGGAACCACCGTCAGCACTCAGCTAGTCTTGTTCCCAGACACTCGAACAGGATTGTGACAAACTTCCAGCTTTGACCCATATATTTAAGTAATCTCAAACACGTAAAATGCTATATATACTGTGAATCTAAATGTTTGCAAAAAATGTAATTTCTGACATACTGTAAATACTGGCAATTTTAATCAGACTCAGACTTTTAAAATTACATTCAAAGGAATCTAAATAACACTGCACTAACTTTCATCATCATCCATTTTTTTAAATATACAGATGGACTTTCCTGTATTGCTGGATAGTCTCTCAAAAGGATTTTAACCTAAAATAGCTTTATGTTCAAAGCCTCTTTCAACAAAACTATGGGCTCAAATTGAGATTTCAGGATTTTTAAAAAATCTTATGACCACAGGATCTAAGTGTTCACTTTTTCTTCTGAATTATCATTATAATTTTATTAGCACACAACTGATCAAGCCGAGAAATTTTACAAATTTTCATAGGTAATTGAACATTATTTTATTGAAACTGCATCCTTTAATGAGATGAATAAACTGTCTTTTCCCTCGTAATTGATTTATGTGAATATTACTGTTAGAATGAGACAAGTTTAATTAGCACCAATTTGTTATTTTCCTTGTCCTTTTTTTTAATGTAAGCACTGAGAATGTTTGTTCACATAGATGTGAATGTAAGAACCTTTGTTACAGCACTGTCCCTACATGCTCTAAACTCCCTCAGCATTTTTGCCAAAAGTCTATCATTAAAAGGAACTTTTAGGAGAAAATATTTGCAAACAAAGCACCTGACAAGGAATTAATCTCCAAAATATACAAACAGCTCATGCAGCTCAATATCAAAAAAACAAAAACCCCAATCAAAATATGGATGAAAGATCTAAACAGACATTTCTCCAAAGAATACATACAGATGGCCAAAGAACACTTGAAAATATGCTCAATATCACTAATTATTAGAGAAATGCAAATCAAAGTTACAATGAGGTATCACCTCATACCGGTCAGAATGGCCATCATCAAAAAATCTACAAACAATAAATGCTGGAGAAGGTGTGGAGAAAAGGAAACTCTCTTACACTGTTGGTGGGAATGTAAATTGGTACGGCTGTTGTGGAGAACAGTAACAGTTTTAGTTTTTAAAAACTAGCAATAAAACTACCATATGACCCAGCAATCCCACTCCTGGGCATATACCCAGAGAAAACCATAATTCAGAAAGATACATGCACCCCAACAGCCACTGCAATGCTACTGACAGACAGGACATGGACGCAACCTCAACGTCCATCAACAGAAGAATGGATGAAGATGTGGTATACACACAAGGAATGTTACTCAGCCACAAAAAGGAACGAAACTCTGTAATCTGCAGACAGGTGGATGGAAACAGAGACTGTCATACAGAGCAAAGGAGTCGCAGAGAAAAAAACATTGTACAGTATCCTTAATGCGGAAGCTAGAAAATTGATACAGACGAGCTTCTCCGCAAAGCAGACACAGAGACACAGACATACAGATCGTACGGATACCAGGCAAAGAAGGGGGAGTAGGAAGAATTGAGAGACTGGGACTGACATGCATATACTGCTGTGTATACAATCCGGAGGAGGGCACGGCAACCGTCTGCAGTGTTCCTGCCTAGGGAACCGCGTGGACAGAGGAGCCCGGCGGGCTGCAGTCCGCGGCGCAGCCGAGTCGAATTCGCCAGAAGTGACTTAGCACGCATGCGTGCACGTATAAACCCGGTAACTAATGCGGACCAAACGCCCAGCACAGGGAACGCTATTCAATGCTCCATGGTGACCGACACGGGAAGGACATCCAAAAAAGTGGGCATATATGTGCATGCTTAGCTGATCCACTTTGCTATACAGAACACGGTGCAGCAATGTTCTCTACAGCGTTCTAACACAACATCATAAAGCAACTAGGCTCCAGTAAAAAGCAATAAAAAGAGAAAGAACTTTTGATAGTCTAAACAACTGCCAATTTGATTGGGTCCTCCTTCAATTTTATAGAAAGTGAAGACGTGAAAACCACTAGTTACAAATGACTCTGTCATCCAGAGTTCAGTCATTTTCTCCGAACCAGTAACAGTATCTTCAACTGTCCCTTTGCCCACGGTGAAGCACAGAGCAAGATAAAGCCCTGGTAAAAGACATGCCTTTCTCTGGCAAAGCGGAAAAGTGAGACTGTGAGAAGAGAGGTGGAAAACGCTAAGTTGCGATCTCAGATCAGTTTCAGGACAGGACATGGATGCTGGGAATCCAGAAGCTGATTCTCTGAAACGCACGCCCTTGCCCGGCACCACTTAAAGAGTACTGAGGTCCTTCCAAGGCACCGGACATCCCGGTTTGACAACAGTGAACCAAGCGAGCCCTGGGACCAAGGCATTCTCTTCAAAATGGTAGTTTACATCTTCGATTTGCTGGCCACTTTTAACCACTCACCTCACACTTGAAACAATAAAGCTGCATCTCGTCACTGTGTGTGCTCTCGGGCGGCGCCTCGCCCTTGACCCTACAAAACCACACTGCCGTCTCCAGGCCCCTGCACTGGCAGTGCCCCGCCGCACGGCCCTGGCACCCTCCCTTCCTTCTGCCCACCACGTGGCTGCCCCCACGCATTCCCACACTTCGGCTCCAGCGTCACCTCTGACCACCTGTCCGCGTGACCCACCTCGCTCATCTCTCCCACAGCAGCTGGATTACTGATAGTTCTTATTATAAACATAACTATTTTGCTTTATTTACAGTAATGTCTGACTTCCCTACTGCACACAAGCAGGTCTCATTCAAAGTGTTATGTTCGGCTCGCAGCACCACGATGACCCACAGGTGTGTGCAGACAGAACAGAGGGTGAACAGGGCGGAGGGTGCAAGGACGGCACGGGAGAGTGAAGCTGGGGTGGGGGATGTCTCCAGAGATTTCCGTGCAACTTCATTTAGAACAAAACCGTATTATTAGAGTCCAGATACCCCAAATGTCAGAAAGAAAGGCTTGTCACAGGTAATATTAAACACATAAACACATATTCCAAGACGTCAGAAAGCACCCAAAGTGGGCAGGGAGACTTAGCCCAGATCTGCCCCCATCCCTTCCTTACCTCTGTTCTTGAGACTGCTCCTCTGTATCGTCTTCAGAATCACCCTATTGAGAAAAAATATGCTTTAACAGTTGTTTCAGAGAAACACACCATCTCCCAAAAAACAAAAATAAAAACTTCTTCAAATCCCACAGGGGTGATGAACTTGTCTAAAACAGTGCCTGCCACCCAGCACACTCAATAAATACTTACTGAAGAAAAGACTGACACTAAAATGGCGCCACTGAAAGCCAGACCCTGCCAAGTGATCCCTTAGATGTGCACTACAAGTAAACATTCTACCTGTTTCAAACTGCCACCAACACGGTCTCAAAGCTGGCTGGACACCACTCTTCTCTCCAAGAGCCTTTTTCTGATGCTCAAGTTTAATCACACAAGACAAAGTTTAATGATAATTAAAATCCCCAAATATAAAAACTGTACTGAATAGCTCAGAATCCCCTATATGAACACCCAATATATGTTGACTTCAACATAAAAAAGCTGATTATGCTATAAATGGCATAAATATTGCACTCCAATCCACTGCCAAAATCTCTGAGACCTACCATGCCACACTGTGCCCAGGAGACACACACCAAGAGTGTAAAAAGAGAAGGCACTCACAACAGAAGCAAAAGGGCAGATCCAGTTAAACGCTGCGTGGGCACGTGCGGGCACTCACGCTCTGGGTTTCTGTCCTCTCCCAAAGCCGCACCGTGGGCTGCTTCCTCCCCAGCCTTCCTCCTCCTCCTGCTCCGGGCCCCCATCCCCAGCCCACCGCTCTCCCCGGCTGCCCCCCACCTTCCGTCATCCGTCCTCCTGAGCCCAGAACTCCAAGCACTAACGCCCTCTGACTGTTTCTGCTCCTGGAGCCACAGGGTCCAAATCCCCAACTTCTCACTCAAGCACGTTCAGATCAGTGCCCACCTTCCTGTGAAAGCTGAGGCTCAAAAAAGGTGAGTCAGAACCCACAGGACAGCAGGACCAGTTAACCAGTTGCAGTCCCACCACCAAACAGCTTTAGGGTCTACACACCATCTCCCCGGGAACAGCCACACCAGACTCTTGTCAGGGGTCCCTGCCAAGGGCCCACTTACATCCAAGGGGCCATCACACCCCCTGACCCCTGGGCAAACCTGTCACCCCCAAGCAGTGGATCAGTCCCCTCAGCAGACCTGTCCTTCTCCACCTCTTCTGCCAGTAAATGAGCCCAAGCCATCAGCGCCCAGGCCTACATGACCAATGCGACAGGCTTTCCCGGCTGTGGAAGGCTGCTGCCCTTCCGGGACGTGGAGAAAAGGAAACCCTCCTCTACTGCTGGTGGGACTGTATTAGGTGTGGCGTTACAGAGAATATTACAGAGGTTTCTGAAAAAACTAAAAACAGAACTACCATATACCCAGCAGTTCCACTCTGGAGTATATATCTAAGAAAAACAAAAACACTGATTCGAAAAAGATACATGCACCCCAATGTTCACAGCACCTCTATTCCCCAAAGCTAAGATATGGACACAGCCCAAATGCCCATCAACAGATGAATGGATAAAGATGTCACACACACACACACATGCACAAAGATGTCACACACACACATGGACAAAGATGGCACACACACACACACGCACACAGATAAAGATGTCACACACACACACACACACACAGATAAAGATGTCACACACATACACACGCACACATGGAAAATTACTTAGCCATAAATAATGAAAATAAGACAGAAAGACAAATTCTGTATGATATCACTTGCATAAAAAAATTACAACTAGGGAATACAAAAAAAATGCACTGATTTAGAGAAGAAACTAGTGGTCAGCAGGGGAGGGGGACAAGACGAGGGGAGAAGAATCACTTCAATTTATCTAATACTGACATTAGCTAGGCCTCAATAAAAATAAAGTTAAAGACTGCCACTGAGTCTGCATACAAAATCAGACAGGAGAAAAGATATCTATGTTAACACATACGTGGGATCTATCATGACCAATGCGACAGGCTTTCCCGGCTGTGGAAGGCTGCTGCCCTTCCGGGACGTGGAGAAAAGGAAACCCTCCTCTACTGCTGGTGGGACTGTATTAGGTGTGGCGTTACAGAGAATATTACAGAGGTTTCTGAAAAAACTAAAAACAGAACTACCATATACCCAGCAGTTCCACTCTTGAGTATATATCTAAGAAAAACAAAAACACTGATTCGAAAAAGATGCATGCACCCCAATGTTCACAGCACCTCTATTCCCCAAAGCTAAGATATGGACACAGCCCAAATGCCCATCAACAGATGAATGGATAAAGATGTCACACACACACACACATGCACGCAGATGTCTCACGCTGTCATGGACACAGATGGCCCACGCTGTCACACGCACACGGATACAGATGTCGCTGTCACACACACACGCACAGATATAGATGTGTCACACATACACACGCACACATGGAAAATTACTTAGCCATAAATAATGAAAATAAGGCAGAAAGACAAATTCTGTATGATATCACTTGCATAAAAAAATTACAACTAGGGAATAAAAAAAAAATGCACTGATTTAGAGAAGAAACTAGTGGTCAGCAGGGGTGAGGGACAAGACCAGGGGAGAAGAATCACTTCAATTTATCTAATACTGACATTAGCTATGCCTCAATAAAAATAAAGTTAAAGACTGCCACTGAGTCTGCATACAAAATCAGACAGGAGAAAAGATATCTATGTTAACACATACGTGGGATCTAAAACAATGGTGTAGGTGAACCAAATAAGCAGAGCAGGGACAGAGATGCAGACACAGAACACAGACATGTGGCCATGTGGCGGGGGTGGGGAATCAGGAGATTACAACTGACAAATACACACACTACCATGTGTAAATCCGATAGCTAGTGGGAAGCTGCTGTACACTCAGGAAGCTCGGCTTGGTGCTCTGAGATGACTGAGAAAGGTGGGAGGGTGGGAGGCTCAAGAGGGAAGGGCTGCATGAATACACACAGCTGATTGTTCACCACTGGAGACACGGGTTCAATCCCTGGATCGGGAAGATCCCCTGGGATAGGAAGTGGCAAGTGCTGCAGGGAGGCCTGGTGGGCTACAGTCCATGGGGTTGCAGAGAGTCAGACACGACTGAGCGACTGAGGACGAAGACACACACACAGCTGATTCACTGCATGGCACAGCAGAAACTAACACAATACTGTAAGGCAATTATACCCCGATAAAAAATTATAATAAAACTTTAACAAATGAAAAGACTGCTGCATTCAAGCCATCTTGTGTGTCAGTCACTGTGAGGCCCATCTTCATCAACATCAGGCATCACTTACAGACCCAGCAGTCAAGGTCACCACGTTAATCTCTGCTCAAGAACCTGGCTCCAAGCTCCTGACTGGGAATTGAGCAACTGACACTTGACTCTGACACACTCACCCCATCTCTACACACTTCAGCAGGGCTCTGGCTCCCATTGAAAACACTGGCATAAAACACGCCCCCTGCGACAGTGTTAATGCAGGCTCTAAGTGGACAACTGCAAAGAAACAGAGGAAAAAACAGAGCGGGAAAGACCAGGGATTTCAAGAAAATTAGAGATACCAAGGGAACATTTCATGTAAAGATGGGCACAATAAAGGACAGAAACAGCAGAAGAGATTAAGAGGTGATAAGAATACACAGAACTATACAAAAAAGGTCTTATGATCTAGATAATCAAAACGGTGTGGCCACTCACCTAGAGCCAGACATACCAGAGTATGAAGTCAAGTGGGCCTCAGGAAGCATTACTACAAAGTTAAAGTTAGGGAAGGTGATGGAATTCCAGCCGAGTTATTTCAAATCCTAAAAGACGATGCTGTTAAAGTGTTGCACTCAATATGCCAGCAAATTTGGTAAACTCAGCAGTGACCACAGGACTGTAAAAAGTCAGTTTTCATTCCAATCCCAAAGAAAGTCAATGCCAAAGAATGCTCAAACTACCGCACAGTTGCACTCATCTCACACGCTAGCAAAGTAATGCTCAAAATTCTCCAAGCCAGGCTTCAATAATACATTGAACTTCCAGATGTCCAAGCTGGATTTAGAAAAGGCAGAGGAACCAGAGATCAAACTGCCAACATCCACTGGATCATCAAAAAAGCAACACAGTTCTTGCTTTTTGTTAGTCTGTTTCTGCTTCATTGACTACGCCAAAGCCTCTGACTGTGTGGATCACAATAAACTGGAAAATTCTTAAAGAGATGGGAATCACCAGNATGATCAACCTAGACAGCATATTAAAAAGCAGAGACATCACTATGCCAACAAAGGTCCATCTAGTCGCAAAGCTATCGTTTTTCCAGGGGTCATGTATGGATGTGAGAGTTGGACTGTAAAGAAAGCTGAGCACAGAAGAATTGATGCTTTTGAACTGTGGTGTTGAAGAAGACTCTTAAGAGTCCCTTGGACTGCAAGGAGATCCAACCAGTCTATCCTAAAGGAAATCAGTCCTGAGTGTTCATTGGAAGGACTGATGTTAAAGTTGAAACTGCAGTACTTCAGCCACCTAATGCGAAGAACTGACTCACTAGAAAAGACCCTGATGCTGGGAAAGATTGAAGGCAGGAGGAGTAGGGGACGACAGAGGATAAGACGGTTGGATGGCTCACCGAGTCAATGGACATGAGTTTGAGTAAACTCTGGGAGCTGGTGATGGACAGGGAGGCCTGGCGTGCTGCGGTCCATGGGGTCGCAAAGGGCATGACTGAGCAACTGAACTGCCACGTCCATCCCAAGCTCCCTAACTATCCCTTCCCCTCATCCTTCCCCCTGGCAACCATAAATTCATTCCCTAAGTCTGTGAATCCCTGTTTTGTAACTAAGTTAATTTTATCATTTCTTTTTAGATTCCACATATAAACGATATCATACGGTATTTCTTCTCTAACGTCACTCGATGGCAATTTCTAGGTCTGTGCATGTTGCTGCACGTGGCATCATTTCACTCTTTTTAATGCTGAGTAACTGGACACCGCATACATGTAGCACATCGTCCTGATCCACTGCTCGGCTGAAGGACA